ACAGATAATTTGGGTCAGGTCAATAAAATTTTCCAAGACATTAGCTGTTACCAGACTGGCCTTTGAAAAAGTTGATCACCTTAGAAGACTTTGAAAATGAAATGACTGAATTTAAGTTGGAAAAACTAACTCATTTATCCACAATTCAGGCAAATATGGTCACAAAATAACTGTATTAATCATTATTCTTTTCACCTTCATTTTCCATTTTAAAAAGTTAAATGTTTTTTGGGCTTGTAAAACACTAGTTGGGCATGTTGGTATTTCCAACAATGTCTACAATCTTGTACTAGCCAAAAATTTGGCTTGTGGTTTTCTGGTGTTATATTCTTTGACTGAATTTATGTTACGTTGGCATGAACAGAATGTAGGTACTTAAAGATTGATTGTTGAGATTATAGGAAAGTTTTGAGAATTTTTAGTTATCTAGATTATACAGGTACGATGTGGGTTTTAGCCTACTCAGTAGACTGTAAAATGTAATGCGCTACCTATAGAATTTCTCAAGATTTTTGCTTTGATAAGCTAAGGGGGGTAACAATTGATTGTTCAAAGTTTCTGCACTGAAATACTAAAATTATAACCAGGTGAATATGCTTACAGATGCATTCCTCTTTATTTTTTGTGATGTCTGGAAAAATGTGTATTTCCTGACACATAAAATGAAAGACTCTTTAGGTTGGATATTGTTCTTGCTATTTTCTCTTTTAGATTAATGGGACTTCTCAATATTAAGCTGAATAGGTATTTTTTACTACTTCATATAAAAATTATTTATATTATTCAGATTATTTTATTTATTATATCATATTGATATAATATTTGCTACCCGAGTTTAAACTTAATTATTAAAAATTTCATATAAATTATGATTGTTGGTTGCAGATTCCCTAATAACTGTAAAAATAAGTTGTTCACATTCTTTACAAAACAAAAGTCAAAGGCACATTATGCCTCAGAAATGAGTATTTCATTTTTAAGGAAGGGAAAACAGGGATTTTATTATGTTAAAATAATGGTTTTAGAGCATGTTATGCTTGTCACCTTAAAAAGTAGCACACTGAATAGGAAATTTATTTGTCATAAAAGTAGCAAAATGTAAACAAAGTAGTATTGTAACTTACATACAAAATACTAAATCACTTTACATTTATGTAAATATACTAATTGCCAAAAAGCAATTCATACCATAGATGGTTATAAGATAATTGGTCAATGAATAACTTTTTGGAAACTAAAAGAAAACACCCAAGAGTGATAAGCATGAATTTAAAAAGCATTTCTAGGGCATATTGGGCCTTTAAGTTAAACTCAAGAAGATGCAGTAAAATTGCAGTAGTTGTTTTGTTCTGTGTTGTTTACTGTGTGTCATTCAACTCAACCTCTGACATTATCTTTGTAACATGTAATTGACTTCTGACCACAAAAAATTGGCTCAATTGTTGTTATTTACTTGTAATGCAGTATTGTTTTATCAGTTTGAGCTTTAGATCATTCACCTAGTATGAACTAAAATGTGAATGTCCTGGAAATTCAAGAGACCATGTTGTGAAAATGATCCTTAGTTGGTGGGTATAAAGTTGATTGGTTTGTTAGAAGGGTAAATTTAAGGGTAAATTTGATATTTGCTTATCATGGTTTGAAGTCATCCGTTTGTGGTTTGTCTGAAGGACATATTCAAAATCGGTCATTCATGTTTTTGTTTAAAAGACATATTTGAAATTGATGGATCATGAATGAGAATGTTTCGAATTTACTTGTTTTTAAGTCTCGAGCATAATGTTAATTATTATTGTATATATTTTTTTATGAAAAAAAAAAAGGTAGTTCCCATCAATCTAGGCTAGTTAAATAAATTCAATATCAAAAGTTATTACAATATGGTTGCCTTTTAGTACAAAAATATATAAAGAATAAAGTGATACGTGTTTGCGTTTCTTTTAATTGTCACATTATTCACATTTTTGTCTTACATGACTGTATATTTTACAATTTACAAATTTGTGTCTGGACCGATAATTATTTCTTTATTTTCATACAGAAGACTTGTGTTTCTTTTTATTGTCACAATAAGATATTTTGCCGTATAAATTTGTCTGTGCATTGAGAATGATGTCTTCACTTTCATACAGACAACTTACCTAATGACTGCACCTCTTTCTTAATCTAAGAATGACCTTGACATTTATTTTTATGTATTTTTAATCTTATGCAGCAGCTGCTTCTTTCTTAAGATTTATTATAGTAGTTTAACTGGTGTATATTGGGAAATAATGTATCGTATCGATTGTTGACGACCTTGGTGTCAGGAAACAAGACAAACCGTGGAAGGTAAATAATTATCTGCTTACTCGACTAAACGAGAATCAGTTTTGCTGCCTCATATGACGTATATGGTATTGGAAAGTAATTAGTGAAAATTAATTAACAGAGTGATATGTTAACCTAAGGATGACATTATGGTTTTGTTATCATGATTTATTCATAAAGAGACATTATTAAACATGCATATTGATATTCTAGTCGGGCTGAAAGAAAAAAATCAATTTTAATTAATTAGTTTAGAGTAGCGCCTCTATAGTACCCCCGTGTGGGAAATATAATGGCCAGGAATAGAGAAGTTATTATATACAAGTCAATGTTATAACTCTGTTTATGGTTAACATTTGCACACTAATGCTAGAAATAACCTTTTTTAAGTTGATAAGTTGAGAGAGTTGTGACCTTGTTATTCAAGTGTCTAGCTGTCTCTCAACTGACCAAATATCATAGGTTTTAGCCCTTCTGTGGGTAAAAAATCATGATTTCTCATTCATACCATCTGACCAGTACTGGTAAAACTAAAGTTTAAACTAAATACTTAAAAAAAGTTGAGAAAAGGTCGCATTAATATCACTTACAATTGTATCATACCAAAAATTGGGTGGAGAAGTTGTCATGAACTGGTTGAGATCTCATAATGTATTACTTGTTTCTCGTGCAAATTCTATTGAAATTTGAGAAATTAACATCAATCTAGGAATATCTATGTTTTCCTGCATCTAATGATTAGTTTTCAAGATTTGGGAAAAAGTGATCAGCAGTCTTTGTACTCACCTATTGAATTTTTCAAACAATGCCAGCCATGCCACAATGTTGGTACGGTTAAAGGAACTCCACTAAGGTCTAAAAGCATGAAAACATAGAATATGAATTTCTTACATAAATCAGCAAGGGCACTCATTACTGAAAGATATGCACAAGATAGTTAAGGAACATACCCAAAAGTGAATTGAAACATATCTTTTACTATTCTTAGCCCAATTTGAGCAACGCTTTTAAATTTTGGTTCATTTCCCCACTTAGAATAGTTATTCTGGAGAAAGGGAGCGAGCAAATGATCAGAAATTTTGCACACAACTTACTGGTCTAGACCTACATCAAATTGAATATTAATGTCGAAAAAATTATTTCCAGTCTCATCATGTCTAAAAAAACCTCATATCAGTGGAGTCCCTTTAATAGCAAATAAACATTTCATAAAACCTCAGATAATGGAGTCCCTTTAATAACAAATAGATATTTCATTGACGTCCCTCCTAGTTAGTAAGCTAGTGGAGCTGTCATTTATACAAGTGACAAAATAAGTGACAGATAGGAATGTTAACCATGACAGTAATCATTCTTAATACTGACATTATCAGTTATACTTACAAGATACTGTATGTATAACATATATACAAATGTATAACTCACTGTGGGCAAAGTATAATAGTATGAAAACTGTATTCACATTACCTTATTCTATGTAAATATAAATTAGTATATATATATGTATGAATATATTCATACATTGGACCAGTTATATTGTGTTAGAAAATACCATGGAATATTAATTGATTAATTAATTAATTAATTAATTATGTTATAGAAATATGCTTATTGGACAAGTTATTTTAAGTTAGAAAATATTTTGGAGTATTAAATTAATAAATAAATTACTACAGGAGTATAGAATGATATAACAGACTTCCCGAAATACGTCGGTCCGACGGACATGTCCGATAAATTTTGATTAGGTCCGACGATTTTTTATTCCGGATTGGTCCGACTGTCTGGCTTTTATCCAAGGCGCATGTGTACAAAATGGCGTCGCTAAAGGTGCCAAACCTGGGAAAAAACGAAAATCTACATCAGAGGAGCGCGCAGAACAGCAGTAAAAGGATGAAAAGAATAGACCCGAGACAAAATTTAATGAAAAATTGTGAATTGTTTGTGTATGACAGGGAGGAGAAGAAAATGCGCTGTACTGATTGTGCCGATTTTAACGTCGAAAAAATTAAATCCGAAAAGTGTTTAAGAAATACAAACACAAGTTTTCCTTTGATTTTGATTAATTTTATCCGGTCTGACAGATTTCGTTTCGGTCTGACAGATTTTCATGGTTTGTCAGACCGAATGTCTGACACTTTTTTTTAACTTTCGGGAAGTCTGATATAACCCAGTTTGTATAATGTTATTTACTATTTTAGTATTTTGATAATACATAATGACATTTAAAATTTTCTTTCTTTTCATCAATTTATTTTTAGTGCAGTTTGTGCTGTATTACTGTATTAACAAGAAGAAATAATAAAATCATAGTATATTATATTTGTCATGAATCATTTAACTGTTAGAAAATATTTTTTATTTGGGATCATTATGGCTGTAAAAATTGACATTATTTTCGCACAAGAAATCTATGAAGATCACTATGATTGAGTGCTTTTATTGTAACTTTTTGTTATAATAATTTTTTTATGTTTATTTGTCAATAAATATGGTTATGAATAAATCATTTAATGTTTTAAAGTGGTAACAGATAGTTACAGATGTTTTTACAGGTAAAAGTTAACTGGTCCGTAATATGATATATTTACAGTTAAGAAAATCTTGCCGAGTCAGCTGTTTTTGTTTTGGGGTTTTTAGTCTGTTTAAAATGGTCGATGTTTAAAGTGTTGGTTGTTATATATTTTCAGGTGCGGTTGTGAAAAGAATGGGTAAATTGTCACTACAGTAAAAAGAATAGTTGAACTGGAGGCAAGGTGTGGGGGTGTCTTGTTAAAGAAATTTATCAAAATCTGGAATGTGATACATCAGCAAAGTGACATTGTGAGATCACTAGACCATGTCTATAGTATATATCAGCCATTCATATGACATGTGAAAGCCTTCTCGAGAGTTTATACAGTATAGTACTAGTGTATATATCACATGTGAATGATTCATTTCTTGGTTTGTGTGTAGGTGCACTCTTAAGTGGCAAGTCATCAAAAAAATATCAGTCCTGTATATCAGTATCGTACATTAAGATGTATGTGTTGAAAGGTTAAGATTAAAAAAAAAAATTATTGTATATTGATACATTTTATGAAGAAATAGAATGGAATATATTAGGGGAGTGGTATAAGACTATGGCTAGGAATTATTGCAGTGATGGAGATTTGGTGACACGGCAGCCGAATTCTGTAAATAAAGGGTGTATTTTCTCACTGTCTACTGGTAACATGGGTAACGAGACGGACCCAGGCGCGTCCGAGGTTAACGGCAACTATAAGATCGGGGATGCCTGTAATGAAGACATGTACAAATTCAAAACAAGTTCTTTGAAAACTGGGTCACGGGTAAGTTTCGCTGACCTAGACGGAGATGGAAATTTGATCAAAACATGCAGTGAATCTGAGTTAGACACTGAGCAAAACTTAGCAGCTCTTAACTTTGGTCGGAGCTTATCATATTCGGCCATCGAGAGAACAAAGAATATGGAATTAACGACGCATTCAGGTTTTAAAATGAAGCCATATGATACAAACTCCATTAGCTCACTTGATCGTTTGTCAACTAGTCCCATACAAGAGGAAGTGGCAGAAATGTCCGAGTATATAAACGGTGACGAGACTGAAATGGATCAGGACGGAGAATCTGAGTGTTCTGTTGCCATGGATACGGACAAATCTTGTGAACAAAGTCATCATTCTAGTCATTCTGTATCTCCACCTAGAACTCACACACAAGGAAAACCGCCATTACCTAACGGGAAATCTAAACACAGACCTGGCTCAGGAAAACAATCGTCATGGTTACTAAGATTGTTTGAGTCAAAAATGTTTGACATGTCCATTGCCATATCTTACTTGTTCAATTCAAAGGAGCCTGGTGTTCAGACTTATTTAGGTAAGTACATGTACATAGAATTACTGTGTTATTATTAATTCATGTTACCAAATATCTTAAGCAAGTCAAAAATATGGGTCACATAGTTTTGTTGACCAGTACAAGTTCATAATTGTATCCGAAACATATTAGATTGTCTGGTTTCTAATATAAGATGTATTTTATTTTGAACCCTAATCAAGATGGACCATCTTTCAGAACTTATTTTGTATGAAATGCATTTGTTCTATCCTTATGTTTACTTTACTTGTTTATAAATATAAATATGTTCAGTATTCTTTAGAAAAAAAACGCCAAAATATCATATTACCCAGTATTGCCCAGTTTAGGGAGTATTGCCCATTGGGCGGGGGGCGGGGGTCCCACCTGGGTTTTTATTGATGGTCAATACCCTGCCAACCTTGCTTTGGCCAAAACCTTTAACATTTTTAGGGAAAATTTTCATAGACATAGTAAGTATTGATTGACATAGCCAACAGTTCAGACCATGATCGAACTGCACACACTATACGGAAGGTTAAATATACATGTATACTATCTTTTTATACCTCTGCACTAATCAAATTTTATCCTATTCATGTACAATATAGGTCATAGTAGCAATGATACTTGATTTAACAATAGAAATTATTGGTAGTACTTACATGTAATGGTATGCATAATATGGATAAAAAGTAGTAAAAGAATGTTTCTTATAATACAGATTATTTCTACAGATTTGAACCATTCAGTCAATCATTAATGCATATACAAGTAATCTATATATTTAACCTTTTCCAATATTTAAAATAGGCATTCAAGTGAAACTTAGCCTTAACAAACATTTGCACAAACTTTGTGACATATTTTAAAACCTTTTTTTTAAATCATCGAAAAATTTGATGTCAGTTTTGGTAATCAATAGCCCAATAAGTGTGTGGGGGAGTTTAATGTTTGTTTGCCTATTAACAGCAGTTTGGTACAATCTACCCAAGGTTTGAAATATTAAAACTTGTTACAAGTAAAATTAGTTTGTGTTTATCCCTGATTAAGCAGAAAATAAAAAAAATAAAAGTTTCGCATGAAAACTAAATAAATATTTATTAACGATTAGTTAGATTAGTTATACAGTAAAATAAAATCATAGTCTGCTTTCATTTCATAGACACAAGATATTATGAGTTTAATTGTGAATTTAAAAATTGTGGGATATAGTTCGGATAATAAAAGTATAACCATTTACTTAAAGAATCATTCAACGCTTGATAGACTAACCTAGTTTATTCCTGATTTGTAAAAGTTCCGACAAATTTGTCGCTGACCCAGTATTATTTTCTTATGTTTATGTACGTTTTTTTAATGTTTTTCCCTGCTTCAAACATATTCATTGAAATTCAACTATGATAATGATTTATACATTTTGTCAAATTGTAAACATGTTCATGAACTCAAAACTCGGACAAGATGACAGCAATAATGAAATATTTAAAACATTTTAAGTACAACAGTGTATATAGACATTAACATTTTGCCTGCAGCCAACAAATACACTCATCCTTTCATTCATATGATACATGACAGTTATTTAAATTACATCATATATTATCATAATAAAATGGTCTTGTTTATAAAAGGTTAAAGTGGTTTTATTTGTTGGAAGGGGTTCATCAGGATGGCTTTCCTGATATTTGTAATGTGGAACCTCATTATGTTGGGTCTGTTTTTTAAATATCAGACAAAATGATATGAAATATGCAGATAAATGAATTAGTATTTGTGAAAGTTTTAACAATGTCCATGGATTTAGGTATTATTCACTGTTTGAAAATGACAATTATTTTTAAAACTATTTCTCTTCTATTATCTAATTGATAAGCTTCAAGACGGTCAACTTTCAAGATCCTTCAAAATTTTGAGGAGGTTAACAGTTCTATGCCCTTTTATAGTAATAGAGGTTTTTTACTTTTGGTTATTCATTTTTCCTTTTCAAGAATATTTTTTTAAGAATGTTAATTGAATATCAAAGTGTATTGAAAATATTTTAATCATGTAAACTATGAAGGCTTTAGGGGTTACATGTACCTAAATAAAGTAAATGTTTGTAAAGCAATGCAAGGATTAAATGAAACTGTTACCTTCTTACTTAAAAATGCAATGAATAGGGAAAATGTTAAAGCTTTAAGAAAGTGCAATGACCGTTACTTTATATTATTCATCATTTGTATAGTTGTAATAAATATATTTATATATAGATCTATGTGAATTTTAACAATTAATTAATCTCAGAATTGATACTTAATGGACTTTTACTTGCCTTTATTGTACTAAGTTAAGTCCCATGATCAGTGGTTTTTCTCACTTAAAATTAATCAAGGATGAAGAGGCCATAGGAAGAAATATTGTTAATATTGCTAATTTGGGAAGTAAAAAAACTGGTATAAATTCAGATTTTTTGGAAAACTGCATGATATTAAAGAAAATTTCATTTGGGAAGGGGCCTTTTATCTGTTCCTTTTTATATAAAGCCCAGGGCTGTTATATAATGTGAAAAAGCATTGATGATAGAATCTGTAATTACCACGGTGATGGGCCAATCATATTTGATGATTTCATATAATGGTAACTTCCTTAATGATAATAAATTAAGTTACTACGGTTTTGCATTGAAGGCTTAATTATACGTCATATTACGAAATGTGGGTAAATAACAAGTTGTTTTGGCCACTTAAAAGGTTTACACATTGCTTGAAAACAAAAACAAAATAGAGTAAATTAATAACAATACTGCACTACTGCAAAAACATCATCCAATTATCTTAAGTTGCTACTTGATGTACTCTAAATATTTCGATACTACTTGAGATGCACTAAGTAAAACAAGTTCTAAATGTAGTCATTTCATGCTGTACGTGGTGGGCATTTTGACCGAGTGGATAACTTAATTGTACCCTTATGATCATATGCATGAAAATAATGCTCAATCTATGCTAAACAGTTAAAAATCGCAACTTGAAATAGCAATGTATTAAATTTATTCTGAAACATTTTATTCGATTAACATGCAATTTGAAAGCAGATTGAAATATAGTAGGGGGAAGTTAGTGAAAATCAGGGAAATTTTGACTTGTGTTCATTGCTCAGTATTCAGACAACAGTTATAGTTGAATTCAACAGTACAGCCACTGAGTACAACATAATTAATCTGATTAAAGGCATATAATTATGTCACCTTGAAAAAAAATGTACATTACATGGTGTGATCTTAGATTGGAAATTTTAACGTTTTTGTTTACAAACAGTTTTGACACATATACTGTGTCCTACATTTTATTTTTATATCCTGAAAATGGACTTTCACCTGTCAGGTGTGACAGTTTATCAGGATTGAAGTTTTCATTGAAGATAAAAACAAAGTTCAGTTGACATGAAAAGAAAACTTGCGTCATGAAATGGAGGCAGATTGTATACATGTCTATGTGTGTAGTAAACACATTCTTCTGTCATTCATACAGAGAAAAAATACAAAATACAATAATATAGATTTATTAGCTTTTGTACTTCCCTGTTAAAATACCACTTACATACAGTATATATATATATATATATAACTATTTATCTTCCTTTTTGGCCAATCTTCTCTATTTCAATGCCTATTTCAAAGGACAGAACATGATTTATCCCCAGAAAGAAGGATGGAGTACATTATTTCAGTTTTTTACTCACCAACCTGTCTGATGGCTGGCTGGTGTCATCTAAAGTTTTGACATACATAACAAACATAGGATGTTGACAGTTCAGTAGCTAGAGGGGAGATATAATCACCTGTTATTTTGTTGCCTTTACTGTGTCATAATCTGTTGAACCTTTACTGATCTACGTAAAGATAACATGGTCAAGGTCTTAGTTCAGTGTTAGGTCATTTTACCAAATAAATTAAAGCGCAAGTTGTTTCTAGAATGCCTTCACCTTATGCCTTGCATCATTGAAGGTTTTAGCAGAGCAATTGTGCTTGCATTCTTTCATGTGAGGAAGCTATCCAGCTAAGCTTAAGGAACTCTGATGGTTCTACTCGGGTGCCTTTTTGGGCCTGAAATAACAAACAAAAGGGCACCTGAGGTCTTCCTTTGCCAGTTAAGGTGGAAAGTTGACATATGACCTGTATAGTGAGCAGATGGTGCGATATAAAACCCAATCAAAAAACAAAAAGGATGGCACCAAAAAAGGACAAGTTGTGCAATATAAAACCAAAAAAAAAAAGAAAAAAGACGGGTTCGAAAGAGGACAAGTACTCTATGCAAAGGTGGCATGTTAACCGTTAAAAAACAGACATATACAAAAATTGCATTTTGTTTATGAATACATAAATATGTCTATGATTATGACTGTTAGTTTATGCCTGGAATTATGGTTTTGTTTACTCAGTTATATTTGTATCAGACATATGTTCTGCCAGACTTGTTACAAACAAATAATTTGTTGTCCATCTACTAGATCATTGTTTATATAGAGAGAGAAAAAAATCAAAAAAAAAAAAAAACCAATGCTGATACATAAAGTGAAAAACAGATTCCTGGTATTCCCTTGATATTTCTGTGATAGTTGTATTACTCAACTGTTCTCATTGCCAAAAGATATGTTATGGGTTTTTTTCTTTTCTATTCCTATCTATTGTTTTTCCTTTTTATTACTGTGTATAATTATATATGCTAGAATATTAAACTAGGTTTTTATAACAAAGATGAATTATTGTGATAATGTTGTTGATGTATTACAATAGATACATTGGAAGTCTATATGAAATAAGTTGTTTACAAGATCCATTATGCAACATGTATCATTATCATTATGTATTATTAATTGACAGTTTTTACATGACAATATATAATGATGTTTATATATAATTTTAGCCAACAAGATGTTCAGTTTTGTTGAACATGAAGTAGATTTCTACCTACCACAGTTGTTAAACATGTACATTCACATGCACGATGTTGCTGAGGCTGTCCATCCTTATGTTGTTAACAGGTAAATATATATATCAATATTATTTTACAACTGTCAATAAATTTCAATCCAGAATCATACCCGATAGATTTGTCCTGCCTCACAGACCCTTAAAGGGACTCCACTGAGGTTTTTTAACATGACAGGACTGAAAATATTTTTGTCCAGATATGTAAACCATTTGATGGGTAGGTCTGAAGCAATAATTTGTGTGCAAATTTTCTGATCATTTTCTTTGCTGGTAGTTTTTAATTTTTAATTTTTTTGTGCAAAATGACTTAAAAAATGAAAGCGTTGCATTTCACTTAAATTTGGCTAAGAAATGAGGAAAATCATCAGTTTTCAATTGAATGCTTTCATATCATTTGTAGATTTTTCCATTTAAGAGCTACTTGATCTTAGATGATGTAAGAATGTTTAATCTTGTCTTTTCTCAGTCACTAGGAGTTCCTTTAACCTGCTGAGTTTCTCAAATGAACTGGTCCAGCTTCCATTTTTTGGAACAGTCCATGTTTAAGGGATTTCAATATCAAATAACGAAAATAATTAGGAATAGGTAATTGAAAATCTAGTTTGTATGTATTGAACATAACTTGGAAATGGTTTTAAAAAAGATAAGTCTTTAGACTCCAATGAAATTAACATTAATAAATCAATAACTTATTAAAACTTATACACTGAAAGTGAATGCCAGTGACAAAAATTTACAAATATTTAAATGGCAGATAGGCTTTATTATACTGTTGGTCACTAAATGTATGTTTTCATTGTTTTGATACTGATAACTATTTAACTGATACTTAAAGATTTAAGGTACTGAATTTAATCCATAACTTGCTGGAAGGGTAAGTGACCAGCCTTTGCCACCAGTATAGAGCAAGGCCAGTCTGTACAGTGCAGTGCAGTTTGACCAGCATTTTATGGAGGTTTACCAGGCTATTTAAAACTTCTGAAAAACCAGCTTTTGTGACAGCATTTCAGTTTTCAGAATAATGTCTTTGTTTTGTTTGATAATGTATACAAGACATGTGGTCAGCCATTTATGAATAATGTCATGGGACCTGGTTGCAGTCTTCCTAAAACGTAATGTGAGGGTGTCATGCAATTTTCAGAAAGTTTTATCCACAGCCCTCAGCTAATTGTGTTAGATATATCTTGTCTACATGCAAACACTGGTTTGTCTCAGTTCCCAAAGGATGTCTCTACAAAGTTGAGTGTAATTCAAAACATTTACCGAGTTATTCAGTGAATAATAAAAGTTGTTTTTAAGGTCGTCAAATGGCATGACAAGATTGAGAATTGAGGAGGTTTATAGGTTTTGCCTATTTGCCCTCTCAACAGGGCATTAGCCTAAATTCACCAGAAGACTTCAAGCCCCTGCCCCGCCCTGCCACGCCCAACACACTACCACCCCCAACGGTGTGCAAGTTTTTATGCCTGATTCATATTTCTTTCTTTTAATAAACAGATAAAAATGTGCTAGAATAAGCTATGTTTTATACTAACAAGACTTAGTGTTAATAGGAATATTACAACTTTTTACAAAGATATAGGAAAAATTTTTAAACTTATATTTTTTGTTATTTTTTGTTTGTGTTTTTTTACAGATGTAGAAATAGTGTGGAGTTTTCTGTGAAGTGTGTGTGGTTATTGAGTGCCTTCTCTGCCGATGTGTTGAAGCCAACATGGAAGACGTCACAGGGTCTCAAACTTAGGAACATGATTCTAAATGAAGAGCTAAGGTTTGTTACAACTGAGCTGAGCTCTATGTAGATATTTGAAACTTGTTTGTCTGTCTTTTTTCAACAATTTAAACAGTCAAATTTTTTGGGTCAGTCTGCCTAACAGGATTTCCTGGATAATAAACTTGCAAGTTATCACCAATTTTCCTGTAAGTGACCCACTGCCAATTCCACATGATATCATAATCTGTGGTGAGAGATGAATTGACCATTTGACTTGATGTGCGAGTAACTGTCTCTGATAATTGAGAGAAATTTCGTCTTGCCAGTGGATTGAACCAGGGACTTGTGTATTAAAAATATGAGGCTCTCTCTATAGAGCTTACTGTGCAGACAACCTAATTTATAGTACACAATAAAAAGTATTTCTATAGCCTGAAAATCAAGGTAGCATAAAAAAAAGATCTGTGGTTCATTACTGGTCTTAAATAATCATACTTTGAGTTGTCCTTGATCATTTGAGCTAGAATCTTATTTCCAAGTTTTTAATAACCTCAAAAATTCTTTTGGCTGTATCACTATAACAAGTAAACAAAAGAAAATAATAAAAAATAAGGAATATGTGATAGTTTTTGTTGTGTTTTTTTCCAAAAAAGTTTTTTTTTGTCTCTTTTTTCAGTCATCATAGTCATAAACATGGACATCGACGGAATCAGTCACACCATATAACATCGAGCAGTCCCCTGAATACCAGCCTGAATAACACATTGTCACCGTCTGGCAAGAAAACTCATACAAGATCACGCTCTGATGCTACAGGTATTTGTATTTTTGAAAAAAAAATTCTTCCAAAACTAAATTTTATAGTTATATACATGGATAGTACTGTGAATTCATTTAATTTCGTGGACTTGAAATTTCGTGGTATAGTCACAAAGAAAATATTTGTGGGTTCTAAAAATTCTTGGACTGTTTATTCTTTCCAAAAGGTAAAATGTAAATAATGTGATGCAAAATAATATTACAGCAAAGGAAATGAAATTTTATCGGATCTTTAATTTTCGTGGATTGACTTTTCCACAAAATAAGTGCTCCGCAAATAATAAAGATAATGCAGTAATTCTGTTGATTGGGGTAGTAGTGATGTTAACTTGCACGTTGAAATTTATTCATTGGTGATGAAGTTACATTTAATCAGAGATTTACTAACAAAAGGGGAATGGTTTGTAAAATAGTATAGTATCTTTTAGTTTGAGTGATATTTGCCCGAGTCTAAAAAATAACCTTAGGGAATTTTAATAATTCTGTCTATATTGTTGAATGCTGGGATTTATTTTGTTAATATATGTCTGAGGCATTTTCTTGGTTGAGTTTTATAAAATCTTATATTATATGGCAACAAGTATAAGATTCCTTTTATAACATGGCAAAATGCAATGAAACTGATTAATGAAAATTAACTTGCTTCATCATTTTCCATTTTCGGACAGCATTTTTGTTTTGAAATGTATGGACGCAAAATGAAATCACAAAAAAATGTTATATTTTATATGGGTAATGTAAACAAATATGTACTAGTTACAATGTTCAGTACATGGAAAACAATTGAAGTCTTGTGATCATTAAATTTTTTATTTGGAAATTAGTAATGATAAAAACTAAGGCAAATTATTTCAAATTGTACACCATTTATTTATATTTGAGTTTTTGCTTCAGTGAAATTTTACAGCAATCTTGCGCTCTTTGTTCTGTTTCTTATTGGTTCATGATTGAATTTCTTTTTCTGTACACCTTCTTTCTTGGCAGTCTTGAAAACCAGCACTGTTAATCATTTTGTATGTTAGATTTACCCTGCTATGATTTTAGAACTGTCTGTTTTTACTGTAACCATTTGCCTTCTTGTGGCAACAGATTTTACACATTCTACCAGTGCAGGCCAAGATCATGGTCCGTATACTGTTCATCATTCAATTGGTACATTTTTCTGAAATTTTCCCTGAAAATGGTGAATGATTTTGTTCATATTGAAAAAAGGACAAGTTAATTTAAGATATTTAGTGTGGTTACGGTTAAGGGGTATCTGTATAAAAATGCTTCAGTATTTTAAGTCCTATCAATCTGAATGGAGTGTACAGACCAGGCCACATGTGGCTGAGGGGTTGCCTTTAATGGTTGAGGCATAATATTTGCAGCCGGGGTTTATCCCTTCATGATTGCAAGAAGGGACTAAGTGGGTTTGAATTACTGGAGTCTATGCATCACTTAGCCCCAGCAGGTGAGGGGATTTTGACCTGTGGTGTTATACCCGGGGTCAGCCAAAATCATCTTTCCTTTTTCAGCATCATATGACCTATACTGTGTAACAGTGTTGATGTGCCATAAAACCAAACAAACAAAAAAAGACCAGGGGACATAAACATGCCATTATTCCCTTTTGCATTCATAGAGCCAGAGCCAGATTGTAATTTGAAGACGGAATGGACTTGTCCAGCTTCAATTTCTGGAACAGTCCATTAATTTTGAGGATGAAAATTTTGATACTAATATTTGTTGTTTCTGTACACTATATTCATAGAGACACCCACAAGCTTTCTTGCCCTTTTTAAAACTATTAGTAAAATTTTTTTTTTTACTCTATTAACTTTTTAAAAAGGCACCCAACAGTCTTCTTGCCTGCATTAAAACTATTAGTAAAATTATCATATACACTATAAAGCCCTATTTTCCTGTATTAAGAAAATTGCAAAATACAGGATTTTCTGTTCAGTATTTTCTAGTGATGTTCCGATTGTCGCAAGTCGCCGATAATCAGTTACTGTTATGTAAAACGACAATAATCGATTCACAAAAATTTGTTCCGCGACGTCGTCAAAAATGTTTAAAGTATCAAAGGGAATTAATTCTGACGGTAATTTTCCTTTAGGAACACCTCGCCGATCGCAAAAAATCACTCAGAGACAATTTGGAGTTGAACAGGATCAATAAGTGATGTAAACAATAGTAATATAATGTGATGTGAATGGTATTATTTGACATCCATTGAACAATAAAATCTATTTCGTAAAATTATGACTATATAAGATTAAAACTGTGTTGAAGGTGCTAAATGAAATTCATGTTACTAAATATAATCAAGTGCCTTGGTAAGAAATGTTATTAGCACCCTAATGCATTACCTCCGCTTTGAAGAGTATTCAAATAGTCTAGAAATACTGTTAACTACATTGAAAATGAGGGCCATGGGTTCAATCCCCAGAAGGGTCAACTTTTTTTTTCTTTCTTTTTTTCTTTTAACATTATTTATGTATCTCTCATGTCCCATTTGGAAAGAAAAATGTGTTTAATTTTGATTTTTTAATTTATATAGGTATTTATTGGCTAAATAATGCTAAATCTAGTAATAAATATGATACCTGATATTTTCAAAGTGTAATATAATCAAAACTAGATGGTAAAAGTATTTCATATTTTACAAGATCAACCAATATACTTTTTTAAAAATTTAGGGAAACTTTGAAAACAGGCACTCATTTGGGTAAATTTTAAGAATTTTTTAAATTAGGCTCCCTAAGTAGAAAAATGGTCAGACACGTGGTAAAAATGGGTGGGGTAGGGTAACATTTTTATACAAATTTCATAAATTTTATGTAGAAACCATAATTTTGCTTATGTGGATTGTTAGCTGAATGGTACTATTTGTTTCTTACCAAAAATTAATGGGAAAACATTTTTCATTAGAAAGTTATTGCAGATTATTTAAAGGTTCATCATTTCTAAAAAAGGGCCCTCATAACTTCCTAGCTTGAGTTCAGAAAAGTGGCCATAACTTGATTTCCGTACGGTAAACTTTGTTTAAATTTTGCATACAGGTGTACTTTAAGGTATACATCTGACCTATGATGTCAATTTTTCAGTTCCTTATAGTGCCCATTAGGGTCCTAAAACCTTAACGCGACTTTAATCGAAAGTTATCGATTATGTCCCATCCGACTGAACCGATGATCGATTGGGACAAATTTCATCCGATTTCCATCACTAGTATTTTCAGCTTGTTGTTATGTTATACTGGCATTTTTAAAATTATTTTCAGCTTATATTGTACTTATTAATTCATCTCACTATGGTGAGTATACCAGCGGGCACCTTCCTTCAATTATTGGTTTTAATCTGTTCTTGGAGGGATTTTTCTCTTATATATATTCAAAACTTAAATAATACACAAGTACTAGACTTTCATCATAGTTTCATTAAATAACTAATAACCTTAATTTAGGTCCCTTTGACCTGACACTGTCCCAAACTATACTGACTACTGTATTTGCTGCCCCTCCCCCCCCCCACCCCCATTGAATAAAGCCCACAAAAGTAAAGATATAAAGTGGCAAACAGAGTTTTAATTGTTGTATTATTGTTCTTTTGAAATATTATTTGTTACGTCTGGAAAGATTTTATTTAGATGAGAACCTATACATGTACAGAATAAAGCCACTGTTTAAACCTAGTAAGAGGTGACTAACTGGAGTCTATGCATCTCTTAGCTCCTGAAGGTCAAAAGTGGTTTTTACCCCTTGACTGCTGTAAGTTTGTAACACCAGGGGTTAGCCAATATCATCTTTACTGTTTTGACGCATATGACCATAAAATGTGTTGGTGCACCGTAAAATTAAAAAACACAAAAAACCCACGAAAATCTGTTTACAATTATACTACTGTGAATATGGGATGTTGTTAAACTATGATGAAAGTTTAGTATGCTAGTGATATACACATAATGTTATGTAGAAAAACTCTAGACTGTAGTTGTTTTATTGCTTATTTTTAAGTCACCTATTCAAGAATAGGGATAGCTATTGTACTCACCCAGGCTTCAGCTTCACAATTTGGTTAAATTTTGTGTGCAAGTTGGTATCTGCAAAACTACCTAAGGGAATGGGTTAAAATTTCACACACTTATTTGAGAGCATTATAGAAGGTCACTGTTCAAGGCCCAGGACTCTAACTTAGATTTTGACAGCATTATGGCCCTTTGGAACTTGGATAATTCTACATTAATGATTATACAGGCTCTTGTTTTACTATCAAGAGAGAATTATAATAGGTCATTGTTCAAGGCCAATAAATTGAGCATGGATTTTAACAGTATTATGGAACTTGGAAAATTCTACATTATCCAGACTCTTGTTCTACTCTCAAGCACTGAAAAATGTTGAGCACGCTGTCCTACTGACAGGCCTTGTTTTTATCTACTAGTATGTAATATCATGCTAAAAGTGCGCGGTGGTCTACATACAGGTATATTACAATAATTATGTCAATTTTGCCATACATAGAGTATCTCAAAGGTTAAATCTGTAAAAATGCAATTACCAGTAAAAGTCATTTCTTTAAGCATGTTTTTTCCGTCTTTAAATTTTTTGTTTGTTTTGTGTTTTTTTTTATTTAGTAATTCCTATCTTTTGTTTGCATTATCTCAAATATAGGAAACGGGTATATATTTGTGCCCCCACGTTAGTCGCGGGCATTTAGATTTACCCTTGTCCGTCCGTCCGTCCTTCCGTCCGTCCGTCCGTTTACTTTTGTGTCGCACGTAACTCAAAAAGTATTTGACCTAGATTCATGAAACTTTACAGGAATGTTGATCAGCATGTATAGTTGTGCACCTGGGTATTTTCGTGTGGATATTTTTAGTATTTTAAGAGTTATTGTCCTTGACTTAGTAAAATTTTGCAATTATCAACTTGTGTCGCACGTAACTCAAAAAGTATTTGACCTAGATTCATTAAACTTTACAGGAATGTTGATCAGCATGTGTTGTTGTGCACCTGGGTATTTTCGTGTGGATATTTTTAGTATTTTAAGAGTTATTGCCCTTGACTTAGTAAAATTTTGCAATTTTCAACTTGTGTCGCACGTAACTCAAAAAGTATTTGACCTAGAGTCATAAAACTTTACAGGAATGTTGATCAGCATGTGTAGTTGTGCACCTGGGTATTTTCGTGTGGATATTTTTAGTATTTTAAGAGTTATTACCCTTGACTTAGTAAAATTTTGCAATTTTCAACTTGTGTCGCATGTTACTCAAAAAGTATTTGACCTAGAGTCATGAAACTTTACAGGAATGTTAATCAGCATGTGTAGTTGTGCACCTGGGTATTTTCGTGTGGATATTTTTAGTATTTTCAGAGTTATTGCCCTTGACTTAGTAAAATTTTGCAATTTTCAACTTGTGTCGCACGTAACTCAAAAAGTATTTGACCTAGAGTCATGAAACTTTCCAGGAATGTTGATCAGCATGTGTAGTTATGCACTTGGATATTTTCGTCTGGATATTTTTAGTATTTTTAGAGTTATTGCCCTTGACTTAGTAAAATTTTGCAATTTTCAACATGTGTCTCATGTAACTAAAAAAGTATTTGACCTAGAGTCATGTTACTTTACAGGAATATTGATCAGCATGTGCAGTTGTGCACCAGGTATTTTCGTCTGGATTTATTTAGTATTTTTAGAGTTATTGCCCTTCACTTAGAAATTTTTTGCAATTTTCAACTTGTATTGCAAGTTACTCAAAAAGGATTTGACATAGTCATTAAACCTTATGGGCAGGTTGCTCATTATATTTAGATTTGCACCTGGGGTTTCGCTTGTGGATTTATCCAGTATTGGTAGAGTTATTTCCCTTGACTTAGTGAAAAGATTGACAGAACAGTGGCGCGGTGGGGGCACCCGTGTCCTATGGACACATTTCTAGTTTAGGAACATGATTTTACCAGTCTGTCACATATCGCTGTCAGCTATTGGTCACTTTCATGCCAATGCATAGACTACAGCCAATCACAGTAATGAAAAAACTGACAGAACAGAACAAAATAGAAGCAATTCATTTCTGGCATAATGCACTTACATTCAACTTGAATTACCTAAAAACATGTCATAATATGTAAAGATAACCATTGATCTGTAGAAATGTGATAAAATTTGTAAATTCACAGTTTTCCTAAAAAATCGGAATTTACAACAGCTTTTACTTTCCAAAGATAGTTTTTCATCAATTCTCAATTAAGTGGGAAAATCCACTGATTCATTCATATAATATAACATTTTACTTTAGTGTAATATGGTTTACACATTTTAATTACTGTGTTTGAATTTTTCATGCACTTCTTAATAATAATATATACAGCTGTATATCTATGTTTTGACATGAATTAATATAAACACAAGTATGACCTAGTTGAGAAATGCAGATATGTAGATGAGTAGTATATGACTCACAGTCAGGAGAACCATGTACAGCTGCCATAATAATATTTGTTGTAGCTTCTCATGCACTTGAATCTTGCCATGATCGCTGTAGAAAATACAGTTAATGTTGTATAATATTAGGGAATCTGATGCAATATGCTTTGTAAAATACATTGAACACATTTCAGTTATTATTATGTGAAGAGATCTTTGTTAAACTCGTATATGATTATGAGTTTGGTTTAAACATATTTATATTTGAGATCATTGTCGGATACCCACAGTTGAGTAACATGTAACATGACATGACATGTAATTAAATGATAAATGGTTATGGTTCGGCCGTGGAAATCCGACGATGATTTCAGATCGATTGTGAAACAAGTTCTTGCTTCTTATATTAATCACTTTTGAGTTAGATTCCTGGAACTGGTGTCATGTGAAGAAACATGATCGTGAACTGATTAGGGCTCGAACCCATGGTCCCTGTGTTGAGAGGCAGACACTTTAACCACTAGCCCACCACTCCCCTTTTATATTTGAGAACTTTGGTGTTTTATTTTATACATGATTTAATGTTTAGCCATTAAGACATAACCCCTTGGGTTGGTTATAACTTATATGGCAGTGTATCAATGTCTGTTTGGTATATAACCCTTAATTTGTGGCTTGGGTTATATTTACAAGCTTACCATTCTTTATATATAACTCCTCTATTTCACAAAGTTTATCAACTTCCAACATTTCGAGGGGTTAAACCTTCTCTTAATCAAGGAGTTTGCTGTTTCCAGAGTGATTTCTAAAAATCTTACCATTCTTTATTCTGGCATATAAAATAGTTAGTCAAAAAATCTTCATATTGAGCATTAAACAAACATTTTTGACTTATCTGGACCCTTTCAAAATATTAATGACAAATTTGGGATTTGGAAACAGATGAGGGAATATTTAGATGTACTTTGCCTTCACAAATACATTTTGTTGGATTAATGTGTACCTTGCAAAAGTTTTCTGTTTCTTTTAGATATAATTAGTATCCTTTGACAAAATAATATATGTTTACATTATTCAATTTTTATATAAAAAATTGAATGGTTGGTAAAAATCAAAAGCGTTGTGTATTGGCGACGTGTGGGGTAATGTGGTAATTTCCCAATGAGTATTATTATCAGAACCTTGTTATAATGCAGTGTTGAAACCTTGGACCCAACGTGAGCATTATAACAGGGTTTCAATGTAAAGATAATTCAATTTCAAGCAGCTTGATAACCATGAAGATCTAGATCTTGTTCACTAAAAGCTTTAATTTTATATATTTCCAGGTATATATATAAAGCAAGGTAACAGTCACTCTACTAATACTCTCCACAACTATGCCTGTGGGGATCTGGCATCAGGAAGAGCTTTTGACAGTGGTTGTCATTGTCATCAGAGTTCCGAGGGCGTGAAAAATGACCTGACGGGGAAGGAGGTTCCTTGTCATTGTGGGGTAAGAACTTACATGTGATGTGTCTAAACTGAATCTCTAGTCTCAAGAAATAGTAAATGGCAAAATTTAATTTTATTACTTATTGAAAGTCTAACATCAACGTTTTGGAGTGTAATATTTAGCCATTTAACAAAAAAAAACAATATTACACTAGTGTTATTATACTTTGACATGACATCTTTTTCGCTATATAAAAACATAGGGTTTAAGGCTAATGTTAGCATTACACTGTTGGCGTGTCACTGAAAAATGACTTTTTTTGAGAGTTTACCGTTCCTATTTATAGATGTGATAAATAGAATACATGTATTATATTCGTGTAGATTCAATACTAAATTTATTGAACTCGTTAAATAAAACAATATTATGCTCACCAGAGGCTCACATAATACGATTTTATTCAACTCGTTCAATAAATTCACTTGAACAGTCAACATTTACTCTTCAATGAGCATAATGTCACTTTAAATCAATTATAACAGACCTTTCACCATTTCCCCTTATGTTAACCATTTGCTTGTCTATTACCAGGCACCAAGACTTACTCCGCAGATAGAGTTTATCAAGGCATTGATGAGTATAGGAACAAGATTACAGCAGCTACCTACAAAAGAACTCAGAGGTTTGTAGTCAAAACCATCTACAGTGTGATCGTATCTTATTGAAAAAAAAAATAAAAAAATTAAAGGCCTACTTAGGGATTTGTGTATAGTTTTATCATTGTTTATTTGTCTTGCCATCCCCACCCTGTCTGTTTGTAGACTTCTGTAGACCTATTTTGAATTGTGAGACATTGTGCATTCTTAGAATAGCATATATCAACTGTGGCGTAACAAATACACATACAAAAATAAATACAAATGGATTGAACTCACTTGTAGCCATGAAATCATGAAATAAAATTCTTAAACTGAACATACAAAAATTCTTATTCCATGTGCACTTCTGAACAAATTACTTCTTACAAAATTTAGTTACTCAAGTCTTAAATGGGGCGTCTGTGGCCGAATGGTTAAAGTTGTTGACTTCAAACCACTTGCCCCTCACCGCTGTGGGTTCGAATCCCGACAGGGACTTTGGATTCTTTCATGTGAGGAAGTTATCCAGCTAGCTAACGGAATGTCGGTGGTTCTACTCAGGTGCTCGTTTGTGCCTGAAATAATGCACGGAAGGGCACCTGAGGTCTTCCTCCACCAGTAAAGCTGGAACGATATGACCTATACTGTGTTGATGTGACTTAAAACCCAAAAAACAAACAAACAAGTCTTAAACATTGTTTGAAAAATTTTTTAATGTTTGAAAATTAAGGTGAGAGATGAAGTTTAATAACATTTATTGTTTATTTTAGGATCAAGGTTAATGGCTGAGCTTGCGATGTTAAATCTGAACTTACCTGCACGAGTTTGGTTACCCACGGCACAGTTTAATCACCATGTTGTAAGAATACCTCATACACAAAGTGTTGTACTCAACTCAAAGGAAAAGGTAATGTTTCGTTCATTCTAATCTTTCTATATTCAGTTGATATAGGATATGCTAATTAATTACTATATAAATTTATAACTTTGTACTAAATAATGTGATGCCACATGGTGTTATTTTGATCTATTATCCTGGAAATGAATATAATTTGGTCAATAAGTTTTGCAATATTCCCCAGGGGAGATAACTAATAGACTAAGAAATGTAATTCAGTTTCTCCCCTGGTTGCAATCAGATATAATCTCTATAGTAATAATGCTATCAGTAAAATTTTTATTAAATGTTGGTTCAGTATAATTTAAAAAATAAAATTCTCTTCGGGGAAATATGCCTATTAGCAAACTTTAACGAAATAACACTCTAGGCTCTGCCTTTGATATTTTACAATATTCGACGTTTTTCTTTAGATTACTAAAATATATAAGTGAATAATATTTGATTTTACAGTAAAATTATCAAATGTAAATTCGCTATATCTAAACTAGATTTACATGACAGTGTAAGTGTGGAAGAATAGCATACTATCATAAATAAATAGAAATTCAATAAAGATGTCTTTTCTTTATGAATAACTTCAAAGATATAGGTTAACACACTTCATGATGCCAATGTAAAAAAAATTCGCAATTCTTACGAAATATTATTATAATATATTCAATTTTTGTTTTTCAGGCTCCCACTATATGGACTTCATGTTTAATTTAGAGTGTGAAAATTCTCCACAAGTAAAAAGCCAAACAAATTTTTGAAACACCTACGTTTCAACGTTCCCCGGAAGATCTCACCACATTTTATCCCATTAAACATCACCGCACTTTATTGTATGGGAGTACAATTTTTATGACAATGCTTCGCAAGAGGATATGAAATTATTTAGGTATATTATATTACATTCCGGGGATATTTAAATTTCTTATTTTTGTAATCCATAAGGGGAACATCATCCCATTCACATGTGAAACTATCCAGCAGTTTTAAAACATCGGTGGGTTTTACTCAGGATCCGTTTTATGAAATCAACACAGAGGGATTGAGGGCTTTTCCCCCTCCTGGGTTAGGGTTTTAAAATCGATGATTCTAATCCCTTTCCTTTTTCGTGGTTTGATCCAAAGGGGGTGCTTTGGGGAGTTAGCACGGGGGAAGGGAGTTATACGGACTCTTAGGAAAATGGTTGGAAATACCCCCTTATGACTGAAAATATTGTTAGGAAAAGGCGTAAAATGAAACAAACAAACAAAATCCACCAGTGAAGCTAGAAAGTTTCCATATGACTTATAAAGTGTTGGTGCAATATAAATCCCAATCAAAAAAAAATTTCATCGCATATCGTTATTCTGGTATATTACATTACTTTATTCAGGTATATTATATTACATAATTCAGGTGTATAAAAACTGTATTACATTATGTTATTCAACTTTATTACATTACTTCATTCAGGTATATTAAATTACAATTATAAATGTATATTACATTACTTTATTCAGGTATATTACATTACTTTAGGTACATTATATCACTTTAGGTTTATTACATTACATATTATAACATGTTATTAAGGTACATTACAATACATAGAGATATAATTTCTATGCTTTTCCAACATTTCAGTTACATATGTCAATGAAGAGTGTGAAATCATGTGACTCTATCTCCCAGTTCTCTATAGAGAGTTCTACAAGTGGGGACAGTAAGGACCCGGTGTATATAGCTGCTGGTGATATAAGACGACGACTCTCTGAAAATATCTCTGCACCAAAGGGCAAAATTTGGGGAAAAACCCCAAAAAATAAATTTAATTTATTATTTGGTTTTTTATATGTTTTTTAAATTTTTTTTTTTCCCCGGGCCCTTACATTAATATGGGGAAAATTAATACTTGTTTATTTCAGAATCTTCTGAGTGCCTAAAATATAATTTTTTGTTGGTGGGGTTAAGATGAGCAATGTCTAATAGGACTAAAAAACTATCCATTTGGATTAACTGCCCTTTATTTTTTGAAATTTTATTTTTAAATTTTTTTGTGTTTTTAAATTTGGGGCAAAAATTTACTTCTGTTTTTTAATTAAAATACTAAACTTTATTGTAATACCAAAATTATTATCACTTTTATTTTAATTAAGTTAGTTTTCTTATTAGTTTAGCATCACCAGATATCAAAAGTGCTACTGGAGTATATTATACAAAAAAATCCCAGTTTATCAAGAATAAAAAAGTAAACATCAAATCCCGTGTATGTATTTCAAACAATTCTTTATGAATTTTAATTTTGATAGCTAAATTTATCCCCCGGCCGATGGCAATCAGGAGGGGGAATAGTTTTTGCGTTGTCCTCCTCCGATCCATCCGTATGTTCGAATTTTCTTCCGGAGTAGTTGCTCTTGCAACTACTGCTGGGAATTCAACAAACTTTATGGGAATCATCAATATCAAGAGGAGATGCGCATATCGTCGGCTGTTCCGGTCCGACTCTTTAACTCAGAGTTATGGCCCAGTGATGATATATAGTGTATATGTAGCTTGATGCAACTATGAAGAGTCGTACAACCTTGCCTGGACAGGACTGCAGCTCTTCCATGTGCAGAAGTATGTCATCTTTGCTCATACTATCATGCATGGTAAGTTTCATCATTCTTCAGATAAAAGAACATGTCTTCACTATGAGAAAAAATCCAAGTCATCACTCAATAATCTTAAGAGAGAGACTAGCGCAATGATCAGTCAGGCTTGTTCCGGTCCGACCCTATCTAGAGGTTAGATGCCTGATTAGCTTTATTGAGTGGATGAACATATAGAGTAATATTAAATTCGTGCTTATTTTTCACGTGGAGAAGCTTCTCTGAAAGACTACTGGCTGTGAATTCAATGAACCCAAACTTATATGGGACTCATATCAATCAACTATCTAAAGAGGAGTCAAATGGCAAGGCTCATTAGAGCTTTAAGTTACCGGCTGCCTGCGAGTCTACCATTAGTAGTCTCTAGGATTCATCGTATAAGCCACTATGATTATATCTTAGTGAATCATCGTATGTTACTTCTTCGTCTTGCTACGGTAGCTCCGCGTTGGTAGGGGTGGGAAAGCTAAGTATAATGTATTGCGGGGGGCAATAATTGATCCCTCTCCATACATTTGTATTTATTTCGATCATTGTTATTATTACCAGTAATTGTTAGGTAGTGTAATGCATTATAGACAGGATTGTTAACAGACTACAGTTTTCCGTGTAGAGTCATAGTCTGCAAAACTACTAGTCTGGAATTTCCAACGAAACTTATAATGGAGGGAATCCTTATCTGCAAATATCAAGGAGAGAGACATTTTTCGGTTTACATACAATTGCTGCTAGAATGAGACCCCGTTATCACTATTACCATTACTTATAGTAGTGGTTACCATCCAATCTACAGAAGCCAGATGCATAAACAGTCTGCTTCTCCGCTTTCGTTACGGCATTAAATTCTGCGTTAACTCCCGACATATTAAACTCTCTTCAATCTTCCTTGTATGCACTGCTTACCTTCATCCAGCACCGGCCCTTTAACCACCGTGTTCCCATACTAAGTCTCCAACTTCCCAATCGTCGGTTCAATCAATCATAAGTATAATTCTCTGTCGTCACCTGATCAATCTAGACACACCTCCTCCCTTCTTGTTGATAACACCTCCATCGCCCGCCATAAACAATGATCTTAAGCTTAATAACCCAGCCTAGATCAGCTCTCTCCGTGAATATCCAGACTATTCTAACTAAGTCCGAGAACTAGGCAATCTCTCCCCGCATCGATCCTGCATGATCCATTTACATCCTTACATACCACATTTTACAGTCAACGACTCATCAAAAGCCATCAGCCCTCTTACCCTAAATGCCACTGCGCTACCCTATCGTATCAGACCCACCTCCCGTACCTTAATCCGGCACCGCGGTCCATCTATTCAGCTCCGTTTCACGCACTTTTCCACTCTCGACACACTTCCATAGCCCACCTCACGATCGCGCCTGGACCTGCTATGCTCAGTTAGTTGTTCTGTCTACGTTATCACTCGCAATCTCTAAACATCACATCATTTCCACAAGTCCTCCATTGTGGTATCCTCCCACTAATCTTTCATATTCATCACCAGATTTCCTCGCCGCCAACCGTGACGTCAGCCTACGCTACCGATCCTGACCGCCGCTACTGTACTATCTAGTCATGCCCGCTTGATCGCCTGTTGGTTCATGTAATACAGTCATGCTCAGCGGCATCCTAGGACGAGTCTCGGCAAAACTCCCATTTCGCTTAACTCGTTCCGCACGATGTACTTTCCCGAGCGTCCCGTGGCGTACCGGAATTTTTATTGCCTGGCTGTAGCGGTCAATACGGGACTTGTATTATTCCGCGCTACCCGATTCCCTTATACTCAGAATGGAGTTATGGACCTGCTTGCAATTAGTTAGCTAGATCAAATCGATACTATCCTCCTTCTGATTAAAGCATATAGGGCCAGTAAAAAATTACGATTTCCCTCCGCTGTAGTTCTCTGCAACTTACTTGGCTGATATTATCAACGAAAAACGTGTGATTGGGGACTGACCGTGATAATCACGGACTATCAAGAGGAGGATGCGCATCGATCGTATGGCTTGTTTCCGGTCCAGACACTTAAACTCAGACAGTCGAAAAGTTATGGCCAATTAGTACTCCTACTTAGTGGTCTATTTGGGGTTCAACTAGATGGATTATCCAGCTAAAAATCGTTGCGCAACTACTTCTCATGCATTTATCTGGGTGGGAATTTTCAACAGAAAACTTTATGGGAATCATCTCCAAAATTAGACTCAAGAGGAGGCATGCGACCTCTTGGTCATGCTCATTTGAAAGTGGAAAAATTTCGTCCCGGCATTGTTCCGGTGCCGACCTTTAACTCAGGCCGTATATGCCCTTGATTAGTTATATGTAGTGTTGCAGTACATAGAGAGTAAAAATTGTTTCCTGGAGAAGTTCTCATGGCAACTACTGGCTGCTGTAACTTCAAACTGTGTTATAGGAATGATACATCTTATATTCATAGACGATGATATTGCGGACTTGATCGTCGAGTACTCTAGTTCACGGGTTCCGAACCCTTAAAATCTCATGACGTATGGCCCTTAGATTGGCTCTAATTGTCAGTATGCAAAACTCTTAGCTCGATGGTGTAAAAAAATCATATTCCGGAGAGTAGTTTCTCTGCAAGTGACTGGTTTCTTAGAAAAGGTTTCTCAGAGCAACCCGGACTTCCTAAATAGGAACCGATCAAGATATCAAGAGGAGATGCGCAAAATCGGTCAGCTTGTTCCGGTCAGGACACTTAATCAGATTATGGCCCTTGATTTAGTTATGCATACTGGCATATGGAGTAAAAATCGTTTGCGCACTATTTCTCTGAACTACTGGACTGGAATTCAACAAAACTTTTTATGGGGAATCATCAAATATCAAGAGGAGATGCGGGCATATCATCGGCTTGTTCCGGTTTTCAGACACTTTAACTCAGAGTTATGGCCCTTGATTTAGTTATGCAGTATCCATTAAAATATGAAAAATATTTGTTTCCTCGCTTACTTCTCTGCTACGACTGGCTGGAATTCAATGAAACTTTATGGGATACTAAGAGGAGATGTGCATATATAGTCGCGCTTGTTCCAGTCAGATACTTATAACTCAGATTTATGGCCCTTGATTTAGTTATGTAGTATGCATACATCTCATTGGCATTTCCAGATCTTTACTATTTAACACAAAGTTATGGCTCTGATTATTGCCCTGAATATTTATCAAGTTCAAAGAATATTACTGTTTATATGCCATGATTAATATATAAATAAAGCCTTATGTCTTCAGTTGTTGTGTTAATAATAACCAGTACTCGGCGGGGGATATAAATTCAACGAATTTGCTTGTTTAATATTACTATGTCTAAAGGTGTTGTTACATGAAGTAATCAATAATATTACTTCATAAAAATAAAAATATCATAAAACTTTACAGAAGGGTACCTGAGGTCTTCCTTCACCAGTAAAGCTGGAACATAAAACCCAATCAAACAAATATTGTAAGACTTCCCCACTTCCATTTTAGCAAATTGTGTATTAAATTTTATTACAGAGAGATCCAGAAGACCCGTCTGCGGCTGCTCTCAAGGAACCATGGGAGGAGAAAATGATGAGAATAAGGGAGTCATCACCGTACGGTCATCTACATAACTGGAGATTGATGTCAGTAATTGTAAAATGTGGCGATGATTTGAGACAAGAATTAATGGTGTACCAGGTGTTAAAACAACTACAGGTATAGCATATTGTTTTGTATCAGCAGTATTTGAATATATATCACATAAAATTAGTAATAGTGTTAATTAGGACAAAATTTAACAATTAAAGCAGCACGCCTCCATATTTATGTTAATTTTCATGAAAATTTTGGAAATGTATATTAAAAGTAAAATGCTGTCAGGGACATATTGCAATTGGTACTAACAACCCAAGAAAATTACCAAAAAGTCGTCAACATATGCAAAAATAGCCCTTACTGCGTTAGTTACGCAGTAGAAATATGGTAATAAAATACTGAAAAATCAGTCTTAAACCACTAATAACATGAAAAATGTAACTCGGATCTTGAATTTCTAAAAAATTTAGTACATCTTTCTCATTATTGATTTTCTTGAAATATTTTGGCTTATCTGAGGGGTGTAGCTTTAAAGATATACTATGCTCAAATTTGGTATCAGAAAATATTGATAATTGCTACACAGTCTCTTTGTAAATATACAATAAACATGCTTTGACTTCACACAAAGAAGATATGTATTGTTTAAAATTCTACACGCTATAGGTGGTCACAATAAGAATATACAATGTCATTAAAGTAAGTCTGGCAATTTTTTTATTTTAAGAAAAGAACAACCTTACTTGACCTGTACTGGGGAACGCAGCTTCCCATACATATTCTTTCTTCATCTTTTTACAGTGTCATCTATTAAAGACATTTATTTCTAATTTGCTGGCTAAACTATCACTTTGTTTAGTTTTCCTTTAATAATATCCAACTTACTAATTTATTTCGCAGGCATTTTGGGAGTTGGAGCATGTACCACTCTGGATACGACCGTACAACATCGTTGTTACGTCTAACAACAGTGGTATGATAGAGCCCGTGTTGAACGCAGTCTCCCTACATCAGATCAAGAAACACAGCAAGCTTACACTCCTACAGTACTTCGAGCACGAGTTCGGTCCACAGAATAGCGAAGAATTTCTCACGGCCCAGAAAAACTTTGTGCAGAGTTGTGCCGGATATTGTCTTGTGTGTTATTTAATGCAGGTTAAAGACAGGTTAGTATTTTCTTTCCTTCCAATAAAATGGTGATAATGGATTTATTGTTAATTTGTTACATGTAGATCAGTTGTTGCAGGTAGAACAGTTGTGCATTTGGTAAGTTTGTTATATCCTGCAATCTATTGCTGCACAATATATCATAGAAAATTATGTCTATGAAAAAGAGACAAAAAAGAAGACCATACCTTGGATATCCAATTTTAAACTGATTTAAAACCAAATTCTCTCTGCAGCAAGCTGTCCTACTTGATACATGTTAACGGGTGTGATAATAGGGGTGTTTATATCTTTGTCAAGTGAAATGTAACAACCGTTCAGTCACAGTTACCTGGTGGATACTGCAAATTTTACTTCTATGCATATTTAATAACTGTAACAATTATGTTCATATATTTTAGACTTGTTTTGTTTAGGAGAGTAGGTTTAACATTGTTTGGTTATTCAGACATAATGTTAATATTTTGTTTTTCAAACATGATGGTAGCATTTCTTTGTTTTTCAGATTTAAATGTAATATCCATTTATTATACAGACTTATGTAATATTTGTTATTGTTGCTTTCAGACATAACGGTAATATTTTACTGGATTCTGAGGGGCATATCATACATATAGATTTTGGATTCATTTTGTCTACATCTCCTGGTAAAAATCTAGGATTTGAAAATTCAGCCTTTAAACTGACACACGAATTTGCAGAGGTAAGTTGTGGTAAATGTTAGCTTAGATAATTCAAGAGGTCTCTTTAGGCAAGAAATAACCTTTGACCTGCCGGTACCGGAAGTGGTCAGCCTTTCCCACTAGTATAGAGTCAGTCCAGCTTGCTCATCCATGCAGTTTGACCTGCATTTTATACTGTTGAAAGTTTTAATTTTTTGTATTTTGGTATTGAAATCCCTTTAAGACGGAATGGACTGTTTCAAAAAATGGAGGCTGGACCAGTCCATTTGAAAAACTTAGCAGGTTAAAGGAGTACAACTGAGATTAAAAAGCCTAAAATATAAAATTTGAAATTTAAATGTAGATCTAGTGAAGCTGCGCAGTCTGATCAGGCTCTATACTGTTATATATTGAAATCCCTTTGAAATTTGAATAGAATGTTTCAGGTACCAAGCAGGGCAAATCAGTTTTACAAATACAACATGATAAGGGTCAAGAAAGCTCACTTATTTAAATTTTTCCTTCCCCACAAAAAGGTAGCTTCCAACCCTGCCTAAACCCTTTGAATTCGGGTCCAATGGGGAAAGCTACATTTAAATTTTTAGGGAAAAAGTAAAGGGGTTTCTAGCTAAGTGCCCTTTGGGTTTGCGGGGAAATTAATGCTTTATAGGGACATTTGAGGTTTTTCCAAAAAAAGCTAAAAAGACTTATGGGCCCTTTTTAAAACACTTAAACCCCAAAAGAAATAAGGATTTCAGGGGGTCCCTATATGTAAAGGGTTTAAATTTTTTTTGTATAAGAAGATAAATGAGGGCGCAATTTTCTTATGTAAAGGTTATTTTTTTAAAAAAAAGTAATGAAAATTTTGGTTTGAATGTTTTTTTGGGTAAAATTTATCGGGAAGTGGGGGGCCGGGAATTTCTCCTTTAAATCTGCACTGCAAGCATAGACAGTATTTTATCTTAGGGGTAGCCGTGTAACTTTAAGCAAAAGTTGCAAAACTAAAAATTTCTTACAGACATTGTAAGGTTGCTTCTATCAGTGTTACCTATATACACGTACTTATAATAAACACATATTTGTTTATTGTTCTTATTTAGTATATTTTATGTTATGGCTAGCCATTTGACTAAAGCAAAAATAAAAATGTCTTACGGACATTGTAAGGTTGCATCTATCAGGGTTACCTATATACATGATAAACACATATTCGTTAATTTTTTTATGTAGTATATTTTATATTATGTACTTGTAGGTGATGGGTGGAGAAGGAAGTGACATGTTTGAGTATTTCAAGATTCTGATATTACAAGGTCTCGTAGCTTCAAGGAAACACATGGACAAGATTATCCCCCTTGTTGAGATCATGCAAACAGGTAACAGACACAGCAGATTTTTAGCTCGACTTTTCGAAGAATACTAAGAGCTTTTGTTATAACGCTCAGGCATCAAATTTTAGTTATACTGAGAGTTATTGTAATCACCCATGCATCAGCGTCACACTTTGATTAAGTTTTTGTGTAAAAAGTTGGTATCTTTGAACCTACTAGATGGAATGGGTTGAAACTTCACACACTTTTTTTAGAGCATTATTGGTGGTCACTACCTAACGCACATAAGTCTTCCTTGGATTTTGACTGAATTATGGCCCTTTTTGAACTTAGAAAATTCTACATCATTTCTTGTGTTACTATCAAGCAGTGAGAAAAGTCAGTCATGCTGTCCTACCTACCGCTCTTGTTTATCATTAAACATAACAAAAAAAAGTTATAAAACAAATTACAAAATTAATTTTCTTATTAAGTACCAGTATTAAGAACTTGATTTGAATGTTTTTGATTTTCTGTCTGTTTGTTAAATTTTATGTTTTAAAACTGTGAAATTTCATAATTTGACAAATTTTGTTGTTAGTATTACAGTATGAACTCATTTTTCCTTTCACAGGTTCACAGCTGCAGTGTTTTAGTAAGGGCGTTAGTACAATTAGGGCATTAAAAGACCGATTTCACCTCACTACAACAGAGGAACAATTACAATTATTAGTGGATAACATGGTGGAATCAAGTTTAAATTCTCTTACAACAAAACTGTATGACGGTTTTCAGTATTTCACAAATGGAATATTGTGATGATAAAAGGAACTTTAACTCTAGGTAGACCATTTAGTCAAGTATACAATAGATGGACAAAGGAAACAGCCGAAAAAATCAACAGTATTGTAAACGAGTGTGCTTTGTTCAACGATAAGCTTGTTAATTTATGATTGTGGTCTTATAACTGTTACTCTGCGGATGGCAACAGATTTTACTAGTGCTGACCAAGGTCAAAGGGCACATCCGTGCCATCTAATCTTGATCGGCACTGTTCTCTATTCAGTCAGCAAACATTTTGGAAAGTTTCCCTAACAGATTATGAATAGTAATGACCAGTTATGTCCAGTTTGAATGATGGACATGTCCATTTAAGATATTTAACTAGATAAATGTTACTGCTTCGAATGCAGAGTTGTGACTTATAGCCGCTTTTTAAGGTATTTAGCGGTGAAACGGTTATATGGTTGGTAATAAGACAAGATATTGTGATAAATGGTAAAAAAGCAGTTATTGCTGGTGGCTGAGTTAATGGAACGATTTTGTGATGTTATTTTTTCGTGGTTATAATTTACTTATATCAATGCAATGAATGATGTTTTTTTTCAATGAAAATTTGAAAATAGTCAAAACATTTAGTCATGAACAATTATTATTTGAATGTATATAATTCTGAGGCATTGTAGCAAATATGAATTTATGATTTTATGTTTTTACATCACATCAAGAAGTTATTTTTATGTTTACTCCAATCATTTTATTCAGACTTCACTCTGAAACACCCATCAATTAGTGCTTTAATTAAAAAGAAACGAAAAAAATATATCATGAAATTTAATTTATATAGAATAATTGATTAAACACTGTTTGTTCATAAATTCAACATTGATTACGGCATAAATTGTTCTTGGTACTCACAAACTGGTGTATGTATGCCATAGATCAGACTGTTTATCTATGAAATTAACTACTACTTCTCATACATAAAGTTTGCTGTTTATTTATGAATTGGCTATTTGTTAATTCTGATATAGGGCTGTTTATTCATGAACTGAACTACTGTACTTATGAATAAATACTCAGTGCTTTATTCATGAATTTATAATGCTGTATTTATAAATAAACGGTGCTTAATTTATGAATTCACAATGCTTTATTTGTAATACAACAGCATTTTGTGTAATAAATTGAGGCTGAGTTTTAAATGACCTTATATGTATATTGTATGTGCAGCCTACCCCAGTAACTCTGTGATTTTATGTTATAAATGGCCAGTTTGTAAATGATTTTTTTTTTTTTCAAAAAAGTTTTTTTTTTCATACCAATCTAATGAATTGTGTAAAAATTTGACTTGTTTTATTTCAATGATATAGTTTTCTGAAGTACTAGTACCCTGTGTATTGAAATAAGTTTAAATTTATATTTTATAAGAGTGAAAACATTTTAGTAAAGAAGCATAAAAATTCAGTTACGATAAATATTTTACCATTCTTTACGAAGAAGTTCTAGTGTCAGACAGGAGCAATGGAGAACAATGGAAGTGAAATATAGATTGTCAAATCAAATTTATAACTCAGTCTATGAAAATTTAATTTAAAAAGGTTAATGGACTATCAGACACTTCTCTTTAAGTTATTAACAACCAAGTAAGGTGCTTTTCAAGGAATACACTTTATTCGAGTAAAATTTGTTTTAAAGTAATTAAGATAATCACCTAAAGATCACCTAAATCTTGGCAGTATTACAAGAGTTTAACGCTATGTACTTTATCCAAAAGATACATGATTTCTCCACTGTGGTTTCCAGTATTGTGGTTTCCAGTATTGTGGTTTCCAGTATTATAGTGTAAAACTTAATCGTAGTCTAAACTTAAGAAAGAAATGGCCACATAGTTCGTTTCTTTAAAGATTGTTTTTTTTTACCTGTCCATGTTGAGCTTTTAGGTTTGCCCTAAGTGCCCTTGTGATAAATCAATTTATGGCTATTATAATCACAATTCTGCTAGTGATATGGGACCATATATGCCAAGTTCTGTGAGTTTGTAATGAAGAAATAGTCGGGCTCCTGTTTTACTATAAAGCACTGAGAAGTGTTTAGCGGGCTTTCATATTTGTTGGTTCAGAAATAGACTTTATATGTCATGTTTATGTCAACAATTTTGAAACAGTTAAACAAATTCAAAATAAAGTTACTTGAATTCATAACAATAATAAAAATCTATGATGATTATTCATCACCTGTGAAAAAAAAAATGCATTAAATTTTTATGTTATTTAAATAATGTCAAATCCTCATCTGTATATATCACCACTTTAGTGCAATAACTGATTAACTTCTCTTAAATTTAGAAAGACTTATTCCGTTACTGCACTAAGGTGACAATATGTGATATTTACTGTACCTCAACTATAATATCATAATTACCCAAGCATTTGTAAATCACATGATTTTGACCTTTGGTTTATACAGAATTTACTTAAGTTCGATTGTGTAGGAAGCTAGAAGCTTATAGACGCACTTTCCAATCTGTTCCTGGAACCAACCAGTACTGAGCAATTAGTGTAAAGTTTCTTGCACAAGGAAACAATGACTTGCACCTGACGGGGTTTGAACCCATGTGGCTAGCGATCATTTACGTTTGATTACTTGTCTGACAAATTAAATACTCAGCCATGTTGCCACTTTTGAAATTTTAAGCTATAATACTTAAATTTGGACTCTAACTACAAATTTGCATGTGGCATTAAAGTTTAATATACTAAATTTCTTGAACATGACCCAGTGATAACCTATTTCTGTACTTATATATAGAAAAGTATGACCTTTTCCAGCTATAGTATTCAGGTTAGCGAGCAGAACAATCCTGGTCCTCTTGCTTATTTTTTTCAGCCACCCAAGTTTTCAAGATAAGGTATAATTTTACTATGTCAGATAATATAGAATATAAAAAACAATGCTGTAAGCAATATTCTTTTTGTGTGTAGAAAAATCATATTTATTTATATGTTATATATATGTGTGTATATGATTAAATCAATCTTATCAATGCAAATTTTTATCATTATTCAAATGTAGATTGTGTGAAATAAATTGTGATGAGATATAAGATAGTTTGACGTTGTTTTTTTAGTTACATGACATGAGGTTTTAAATTGAACCAATGTATATGTGTTCAGAATGGTATGGTTAATGTTTGCCTAAAGTATACCTGTCCCACTCCTGAAATTGGGTTCATTTGCTTCAAGTCCTAACCTGAAGGCAGCAACTGAATACTAGTCTCATCCTAAACCAATAGGGCCAATATTGCATAAACTAGGCAGGAATGTTCCTGGCATGTAACTATTTTAAAAAAAGTTCCATTCCATGTAAAAAAATAATTTTAAAAATGTTCTGTCTCTCAAACCGCAAGAGCTAGAGCTTAGATATTTTGCAGGACACATCTTCTAATTCATATCTACCAAATTTGTTCAAATTATAGCAATATGTCTTGTGTCGCCTTGAAAAGTTACTTTTGTTGGCGGCGTTGGTGTCCGCAGCGAGTTCCCCTAATGCTTGTATGCAGCATAACCCAGTCACTATAAGTCGAATTGACTCCATACTTGGTATGCATGCATATCTCAAAGACCCAAAGTGCAGTGTACCCTGCGCTTCTTAATTTGAGTTATTGTCCTTTGTTAATTTTCATACTTTATTTTTGTCCGGGCCATTTCTCCTAAACTGTAAAAGCTATGGACTTGACACCCTATAGGATGATAGATCTCATTAATAAGAAGTGCAATGCACAAGAAACAGCACTTCTTATTTGTTTAAGTTATTGCCCTTTGTTAATTTTCATACTTTATTTTTGCCCAGGCCATTTCTCCTTATCTATGAAAGACAACATAGGATGATAGAGCTTATTGAGAAGAAGTACAGTGTACAAAACTGGTACTCTGCACTTCTTATTTTTAGAGTTATTGGCCTTTGTTAATTTTCATATTTCATTCATGTCCATGCCATTTCTCCTAAACTATGAGCTATGGACATGAAACTTCATAGGATGATATATCTCCTTGAGAAGAAGTGCAGTGCCTAAAAAAACGCCACTATGTACTTAGAGTTATTTCCCTTTGTTGATTATTATACTTTATTTTTGTCCGGGCCAATTCTCCTACACAATGAAAGCTATTCAAGCTACATCAGTCCTAATGTAACATTGTTACAATCAGTTCAAATGCCACTAAAATTCAAGAACATGTAAATTATAAGAGTGGTGTCTATAAATAACCTATATTAAAGAAGAATATGCCTAAGTGACAGCTATACTGTTCACAAGGCGACACATCCGACTCGCGAAGTTCTAGTGTTTTTCAAAGTATATCAAATCAATTAAAACATGAAACATTATCTCGTGCATATCTACTTCTTTTTAAATTTGTAGCAATACCCGTTATATTGAAAAAAATCATACTTATATAGGGAAATACAATGTCCAGAGCTAGGATTTTGGTATGTAGCACTGCCTTGTTGTGTTGGTAACTACAGACTTTAAACAAAACATACCCGCAGGTTTAAAAATGGTCGCGTATACTAGAATGATCTTTGCCTTAGCTTATTAGTACAGATGGATATTTTACACATATATAAAAATCATCAAAATATCATTTTATCGTGTTTCATGGGTTGCTATATAAAATTGACCATTACTCAGCATGTCCGTAAGTTAAATATGTATCATTTTGTAAGTTCTACACATTCTTAATATGAAAAAAGAGAACATAATCTTGGAACGTATCATAGCCTTCAAACCAGTTTTTTTCCAATTTTCTCTCTTCTGGTTAGTTTTCAAACTATTTCGAAAAAAGTTTTTTTTTTCATAAAATTCTACGAGGATCAATGTTACAAAAGCCGTGTTATTAAAGATATCGAGTTTGCATCGTTTTTTCAGCCACTTTTCTCCCTTATACGCTCCATGAAAACAACTATTATTTTTTTGTTTTTCCAAATAAGATGTACCTATCAACGACTTTATATAATAAACATTACGTAAATATTTTAAAATTAATTTATTAACTTTGTATTTATTTACCATTTAGACTCATTTTATTTCTTCAGTTTCAATACAATAAAAACAGACTTATAGCTTTCAAAAGAAACACATTATTGGCTTTTGAAAAAGAATGGAAATTGGTCAACACATTTTTTTTCAGGACGCCTCAGATTAAGCTTATATGTAAATATTTTCCTATTTGCTATCGTTATACTTATATTAATTTTTTTGTTATAGTATAAAGCTTATAATTATACATGAAACGAATGGGATGCCTTCGACCCTTCAGCACCATATGACGAGGGCAATAGAAAATAAGGACGAAACCACTATGCACTATCGTATCATGATAAGGATCTAATAATTTATGTCGATGATACATTGTTAACTCTGACAATCACATGGCTGATTACTGTTAATTTAAAGAAGGATGAGTCCCAGCTTTGTTTACTGGTAACTATAGTAACTACATCATTAATTTCTGTTATTGTCAATGCAGCTGTTTACACGGCATCAATTATTTTTCTAGCGCTTTTAGATAAGCTTTGTTTATTTCTATGATACTCAATAAGTCTAGATCCTAGGGTCAACAAACGGGTAAAAAAGACATTCAGATTATATTTATTGTCAAATTAAGTCGATCATTTGCCATAAGACCATTAAATTAGTTTCATTTACTTGATCAGAAGTTAAATGTAAGGAGCAATGGTCATTTACACAGTGTCATATTGCTATGTTGTTTACTTTATATTCTAGTCTTGCAAATGTTCACATATTTTACACTGTCTCACATAGACTTTCTCAGTCTAGTCTTATGTATAATTTTTTGATATAATATTTACAAATTTATTTTTATTTTGATGCATAATATACCTTATCAGTTGTGTTCAGTTCAGTTCAGTTCAGTCATGTTCTGTATATTTTTTTGATACAATATTTACAAATTTATTTTTATTTTGATGCATAATATACCCTATCAGTTGTGTTCAGTTCAGTTCAGTCATTGGTTATATGTTAGGCTTTGTATATATGGTTGCCTTAATGTAATATAATGTACAACTAGGTTTTTTGTCATCAGTCCATCTTAGGCAAGTCACAGTAGGTCGTTCTGGGTGGGGTTTGTGGCGTTTTTTTCCACCCAGTTATGTTCTTGTGAAAACGATTTTTAGTTCTGCTTCAATATTATTTTATGGCATTTAATTAAATGCCCATTTTTCATTCAAATACTGAGTTGTGTTTTCACTTCATCCTATACAAGTGTGACTTTGTGACTTTCTCTAATGGACAAAACATTAAATAGAAGATAATGGTGACATAAAGTTTTTTATGTCTTTGTGGGCATTCATTCTAAATTGTTTTTACGGAATTATAGTACGCTTTAGGAACAGACTTTTATAGGAAATTTTTAGCCATCAAACAAACCAGGTTTTTATCACGTGGTCTGGATTAACCAATCAATTAAAAGCCATTAGTCTTTGTTTTAGCTTCGCGTGCGTGAACGCTCCTCGCTAAAAATTGTTATATAATTTTGGAAAACCACCTCCTCCAACGCCTCCTCCTCCTAAGTTTGTCACAATTTTTTCAATTTAACTTTAATTTTTATGTAATTTTTTTAGTGTGAACTTAATTTGAAGTTTTCGCCTTTGTTTACCTTCGCATTGTTCAAACGTTATTTGGCGTCCGCCGCCGAAGCGCGAGCGCCTTTTATAGAAATGAAATCAGATTTTTTGTGGAAAGGGCGGAACAGCAACTTCTCGAGTGCCCCTTTTTTAGTTTTTCCTAATAAAAGCCGATCATCCGATCGGTATGAAGTGGGGCTTGATTATTAATTTGAGTCGCGATTTTGTACAAATGAATAGCGGAACTGGGCAGAATTTTTTCGCAATGCAAACATTTCAAAAATTAATTAACCTTTTCCGTTACAATAATATCGCGCTCTTCGGGGTATTTTTTATTTATTCATTTTGTAGTACACAGTGGTTTATTTATGGTATGTTATTTCCGAAAGCTGTTAAATAGAATGTTGATTGGATGACCCTAACATTCCGAAAATCTTATTTCTCTTAGAGGGTGATGTACTCCTGTCGGTTTAATTCCCGGTCTTCTCCGTGCGTCTATTTGACGACCCGGCGAATAGTACCATACGTTTATTGTCCGGTCTTCTTCCGGTTTTGGAGTAGAGTTTGATATCGTTATAAGAAAACAAATTATTTTACAGATAATAAAGGCTTTTTTTTCAATAATGATGTTTGTCTACAATATTAATTTAAAAAATAGATCAACTCTTCAAATTTATTGATTATTATTTATACATTAAACATGACAATTCGAAAAAAAACCCCAACAACACAATTCGTATGTTTTATTTTATCTATATGAGGATAAAAACATTAAATATGTTACAAATAAATTGAGATAAAAATTGTACTTTTTAGGCTTAAGATGGCACTATTTCAATTTGAAACATTTTTTATTTTAATTTGTTTATTTCGTGTTAAGTAAAAGATTGCCGAGGAATTTTCAAAGTTACAATCAGATTTTATTGATTTATTCAATTGATTAATAATTTTAAAAATGATTAAAGAAAAATACCAAACTTGTACAGTTCTTGTTTAGAATAAAAAATTATTATATATTGAAGTTTCACATAATTTTTACTGCTTTTTTCCAGTTAAGTTTTTGACTTTAATCGTCCGGTCATTATGACAATTCGAATTCTTAAAATTTAGTAGTAAACGAAAACTCAAAAAAAAAAAATAAAAAAAAAAAACTAAATAAAAAAATAAATACTATTAAAAGTTAGTGCATAAAACACAAAAAAGATAAGAAAACAATATTCATAAAACTTTTTTTTTTTATTAAAAAAATTAAAATTTTAGGGGTAAAAAAACTTTTATGCCCCAAACCCTGGTAAAAAAAAAGGGTCAAAATTGTTACTTTTTGTAACAGAAAAGTTTTAAGGGGGGGTTTTTCCCGCTTTTTAGCGATAACAAAATTTAAGGGGAAAAATTACAACAAGGTGGTTTTTTTCAAGCTTTTATCAAAAGGGATTTTAAATGATTTAACTGTATACCCGTTGCTAAAAAACCCACGATCTTTAAAATAACAAGTAAATTCAATTTCAAAGCTTTGCAATAAAATTATAAAAAAATTTAAACAATTTTTTTCGTTCGTTCCTCTTTAAAGTGAAAATTACAATTCTGGAAAAAACCAAAATAACCCATTGAAACAGTTTATAAAAATATCTTGTTATTTTTATATCTCCCTTTTAAATTTGCATCGGGCCTTTTTTCTTGTTTGGGAGCCCTTTGAGGGTTTTTGCATCAATCTTTTCTTGTTATTACTCTGTATTTTTCTCCTTTTTTACATTTGCATTGTTTCCAAACATTATTTTACAGTATTTATATGTTAACCCAATGAAGCCGTTCTTTACAAAGATTTGTGTTTGATCAACCATATGGAGGATGGTTCAAAAAATCTATTTTCTTTTAATTGTCAAATTTATCTGTTTTATTAGCGGGGCGGTTTTTTTCCACCCAGTTGATTGTTCTTGTGTGAAAACGTTTTTAGATTGCCCCTTATATATTTATGGCATTTAAATAAATCGCTTTTTTCATTCAAATACTAAAAGGTTTGTGTTTATTCACTTCATCCATCAAGTGTGACCTTTTGTGACTTTTCTAAATTTGGACAAAAACATAAATTGACCTAAGATGTTCAACTTTGTCAATCGAAGATGAGTAAAAAATAAAACAATGGACAAAAAAAACCCAAAAAAAAAACAATGATAAAAAATCCTTTCCAAAAAGGAAAATTTTTATGTCTTGAGGGTTTTAATGAGTTGGGAGGGGCTAGGAATTTGTTTTTTAGTTAATGAAAAAAAAAATTTAAAAAAACCTTTTAAAAGGGGGCAAACACCATAAAGCGCCCTTTAGCAGAAACTTATCAACCCCTTTTTGGGGGATATGCTTTAATTTATTGAATTAAGTGTTTTCCCTGAGAAAAAGACAGTTATTGGGGCTTTAAAAAACAGGCAAAATGTAATCCGTAGTTTAAAAGGGAAGACGAAACTGATTATTACATTCCCGGGCGAACACATGTGGACCAAAGATTTGTTCGTTTAAAATGATACTTTTCTTATTAGTTCAGTATAATTAAATTTTGTTAAAATAACACAGAAACGTGCACTGCTTTGGGCCCAAAATATTGTTTTTCAAGAAAAAGGTAAAAAAGGTTTTAGGTAATTGGGCAATGGGGGTTTCATATTGGGAAAATTTTTAAAAGCACCCCCCCCCCTGTAATTAAAAGCAATTTTCTTTGGAATAAAATTTTCCCTTTTTTCTTAAAAAAGTTAAACCCATTTTTGAAAAAATTTTTAGCTGAAACTTTTAAAATGAGTTTAGGAAAAACATGTTTTTAAAGAAAAATTTAATTAAAAAATTTTGTTATTTTGTTAAAACCCATAACCCCTAAACCCCCAAAAAAAAAGTTTTTTAAGGGGTTTATGTAAAAAATTTTCTGCCCTTGAAAAAGACCCTTTAAATGGGCAATAAAATTTTCTAATTAAAGGGGCAATTTAAAGCGAAAATAAAATTAATTTCCCTCAATTTTTTTCTTAAAAAATTTTGTTTTTATTTTCCCAAAAATCTGCAAAGTTTAAAAAAATAATTTTATGTAATTTTTATTGTGCAATATGTCTTTAAATGAGGCTAGCATTTGTCGAGGCAGCTTAAAAATGATCAAATAAATTCCTTATGTGAATATCATTTATTAATAACAGATAAACAAAGCATTATTGTATTACAAAGCAAAAAAATGATATCTATTTAATTAGCATGCAACGTTCTTTCTTTCTTTCTCTCTTTCTTTCTTTCTTTCTTTCTTTCTTTCTTTCTGTTTGGTTATTGAAAATAAAACTAATCCGTTAAATCACTTTAATCATAATACATGTTCAATGTACATGTTCTCACTCACTCACTCACTCACTCACTCACTCACTCACTCACTCACTCACTCACTCACTCACTCACTCACTCACTCACTCACTCACTCACTCACTCACTCACTCACTCACTCACTCACTCACTCACTCAATCAATCAATCAATCAATCAATCAATCACTCGTTCATTAATTCTCTCATTAATTCCCTCCCTCCCTTTGTCAATGTCCTGGTCTCTTGAGTGATTGTACTCTAACGTGTACATGGTAGGGCACGATTCTATAAATTGTTTCCAATCCTTTTCTTCAAAATCTGAAAGAGGGAGAAAACATAATCTTATACGGGTTAATGCAAACACGCTTTTAGACAAATAAAGAAACAAAATTTAAAAGGAACTTTAACTTTGATAATATGAAATACTAGTTCTTAGAGAGTTCTTCCTTATACTAGCTAGAACCATTCTTCTTATAGAGATACTATTATTGAAAGTAAAGCTGTTGTCTATCAAGTTCATTGTACATTATTTGTAAAATAATGAGATGAAAGGTTAACGATAATAGATGTAAGGTGCATGAGAAATTAATAATATGTTGTCATTTATAAATGTCTTTAAGTAGTATAAGGGCCTCTCTACTACTTCTTGAATAAATAAGAAAACATGAATTCGTAAATATAAATAAAGAAACGCATACAGACTCATAATTATGTAGAAGTAACTAATAGATACGCTACTTCAATATAAAGAAAACAAAACAAACATACTAGATTTAATCTAAGTAAGAAACCAATTTTTGTCATTGTTTAGATAATACGGTATAACATTATTGTGTCTTGGTTGTAAATTAATTAAAGGTAAAATAACTTTTATAAATTGTAACTCATATGTCAGGCATAGACTATAATACGCAAGTTTTATACAAGAAACATAGGCTCGTAGAAAGCGATGTAAGCAATTAGCATAGATATTTTATTACATGTTTTATTTCACAATTCCCTATACCTCTTGTATCAACAGTTCCTCGAGTTTTCGATCATTGTCTTTGATTCTTCTCTCTGTTTGGATATCACCGTCTGTTGTTGTTGGTGCGTCAGTTGTCGTCAGCGTGTTTGTAGAAATTGCTTCTGGTGTTGTAGTTTGACCATCACCTTCATTTGATGATTCACTTTCGGGAGTAGTTGTCGGTCCGTCTATAGATTCAGTTTCTGGACTTGTTTGACTCTCCATTGCTCTATTAGATTCTTCTGTATTCGGCAAAATTAATAAAAGAATTAATTAATGAAAATCTTATAATAAAAATAATGAATATTTATTGTTAGTGAAATTCTCATGTGCTTGGTAATTATTTATAGTGATTATACTGGAAATAAATCAATCGATAAAAAAACTTTACAGACTTCTGTTTTGTTTTTATGAATAGACTGACAAAGGCAACACAGTTATAACCCATAATAGTCAGCAAATATTTTTCTTTTGTGTTTGTTCATAAATAGACAGACAAAGGCAACACAGTTTATACCCCATAAAAATCAGTATTAAATAAAAAATATCCGTAGATTAGTAGAATCAATAATCCCAAAGTCAAAGACAAATATTCCGTCAATTATCTAAAGTGCAAATATTAAGTAAAACACGAGTAAAACTTGTAGAGCTGTCATCGATATCGACAATATCGATGTATCGTTGATATTTTTTTGTCGATCAATAATCGATACACATTTAAAAAAATCGATACTTTTGACTTATATATTTTAATGTCTAGAAATTATACAATTCACCCAAAAAATATGCAGAAACAGTTATTATATCTAATGTTATGCTTTCGTTATATAGTGGAATTATTTCATAGCAATGGTGACAAAAAATATTGTCTGGTAAAAATCATGCAGTGGACAAGACACTGTACAGAACATGTTTTTGACTGAAATGATTGAAACAGGTATGAAAGTGAATGACAGACAAGTGAGTATAGGATATTATCGATATATCGGTGTATCGTTGATTTTAGTCACTTCATATCGATATATCGTTGATATGCTTTGCACTGAATCAATGACAGCTCTAAGTAAAAGTAAGAGATATACAAAATACCTTTCAGCAATTGACAGATGTATAGAGGAAGTCATTAAAAAACAGACCTTTGGAATTCATTTGATCATTTGGTGTATCCAAGTGATATATCCAGGAAGACACTTTTAAAATTATTTTCCAAGGATGTATTACTCTATCAATAGACATAAAAGAGAAGTCCTGGATTTTTGGTCTTTTGGTATTAAAATGTTCAGAAACATTTTAATCTAAGTAATTGGAAAACGCTGTGCTTTATAATGGTAATACTTTAAAAGTATAAAATAAATATGTTAATTATGTTTGAACAAAATCGATTGCTACATGTGATGCTATAAATCTTAATAATTATATAGAGTTGGTACCTGAATAGGTCCTATGAAGTGCACGTGTCATTGCATTAACAAAGTCGGCGTTTCTTTCATCCTCAGTCACTGTCTCATATAAACAAACGAATATAAGAAAAAAACATTTGGAACGTTAAATATAATTTCAAGTCAACTGTCCTAGATCTTTTAAGTTGATAATTAATGACTGACTCCTGAAACTTCAGTCCTACAACTATTTCGTTTATATGAGTGATGTCCTCAGACATACACAAGTCATAGGACTATCCTTGATTGTCCGACCCCGGTTTTGTTTGTTTTTGGTAAGGTTTTTACGTCAAAACAACACAGTATAGGTCATATTGCAACTTTTCAGCTTTGCTGGTGGAGGAAAACCTCAGATGTCTTTCCGTGTATTATTTCAGGCACGAACAGGCACCTGAGTAGAACAACCTAGCTGGACAGCTTCCTCACATGAAAGAATCCAAAGTCCCTGAGAGTTTCCAACACACAACGGTGAAGGGCAAGTGGTTTGAAGTCAACTACCGTAACCATTCGGCCACAAAGGTCCACAAACAAGTCCTTGACCTATCTGTTATACTACGAATGACTGACTCCCCATCCCTTACGTTTTATTATGAATGAGTGACTCCGGACAGGCACGTCCTTGACATATCTATTGAATAGTGAATGACTGATTCCCTAATTCACCAAATCCTATCGCCATATTCTTTTTTTTAAAAAAATGAAAAAAATAATAAAAAAAAAAAATTTAAAAAATTGAATGTTCGGGGACAGGCCGAACCTAGACATATCTCTTCGATAGGTGACTCACTCGGATATAACAGTCCAAGAACTATCTATTTTAACTGCGACTAGATATGGACATCGTTAAATGGATCTGATCAAGACCTTCTCTTAGGGAAAACAAAAACAAAACAAAACTTACACATCACTTTTATTTTATTTATGTCTTGAAGATAATTCATGTCGAGATTGGGATAGATCGGGGTTCCGGTTTTTTCTTTTTTTGGGTTTTCAAATTTTTTTCCCGTCTAACCCGATCATCGCAAACTGGAAAAAAATTTTATATTTAAAATTTTCGTTTTTTTTTAAAAAAAAAGGGCGAATAACCCTTTTAAAAAATGGTTTTATTAAATTTTACATTTGTTTTGTATATTTTATTTTAATTTGTTTCAAAATTTTGTTTTCCCCCCGGTACTGGTTTCCCGCAGTTTTTCCCGGCCCCAAAGCACCCTTTTTAAAAAAGTAAAAAAAAATTTTGTTCTCTAAAAGGTAACTTAAACATTAGGTAAAAACTTAAAACATTTAAAATCGTTTATTTTTTTTTTAAACTCTGTTTGCATGAAAAAAATGTCTCTCTGATTTGATGAAATAACATAGATGCCCTAATGGTAAAAGTAGATTATACTGGACGAAATTGATAAAGGGCCGAAAAAGTGCTAGGGGCCGGAAACTGCTTGGAAACCAGCATATGATATTTACCATACAATAGAAACACTACACATGCATTTTTGTTCCTACAAATAGATATAAGGGAAAGATATGAGACAGTAACCGTATTGATATCAATATATTTAAGACATATTTTGAATTTAACTATGTTTAATTTCTAATTTATTCATTGTCGCGTTGAGATGCATTTATTTTTCTTTAAAATGTATAGGATGAAATATAAATCTTCAATATAAAAAAGACTGCCCCACTTTCATCGAACATTGCATGGTTAATTCCAATGGATATTTGCAGAAATTTCATTGGACTACGTTAGTTATTTATCGTTTATATAAAGTAAATTATAAATCTGAAAGGATTTTTGGCAAAATGTAAACTTATTTTGACTTTCACTTGTTCACCCACTATATACCCATGGGTGGGCATAATGTCATTTTAAAGTATTACATTTGGGTTTTATTTCATTAAGATTTCTTCAGTACAAAATATTTATCGAAATGTTTATATATAAATGATGTATAATATAACTATATTAATGATTTTGTATTGGCTATACAATAATACCATCATCTAAAGGTAACTCTTCTCTGACAAGCGCCGCAAAGTCCTCGCCATATTTCCAGGATAACATCTCGTAAAGACTACTAAGTGAATTGTACACACGTGAATTTCCGGCTGAAATTGAATATAAATGTAAATTAATCGATAACGCATTTTTAGTCTGTTGTCTTCAATTATCTATTGCAACACCCTCTAAATCTACAAAAATACGGTCTATTTGCTACCAGTTATAAATACATTCGTCACCTAAGTGCAGTCCTAAATTTATTAGGAGTTTCCCAGTTATTGAACTAAGGTGACGATTTATATTATAGCTATTCATTTGCGTTGAATCTTGTTTCTGTCCTGCACATGAATTGTTTGGAAACATGTTTCTCTCCCATACATAGAATTTACATGTCCTCTTAATGCATTGTTCGTAAGGTTTTTGATCACTTTATTGGTAAATTCCTTGCTTTTTGGTATATGTTTTCGGATTCTGGTCATACTTTTAGCACCATTCAGGAGCCTAAGGTGAACTCTTTGATCTTGCGGAAGCTTTGGCTGCGCGTTCTTAACTCGGTGTTTTTCCATTTTAGATTATTATTGTGATTTCATATAGAAATTGATTGTTTGAGAGTGATGTTAGCGTGAGTTTTATTTAAAATCAAGAATATATATAAACATTATTTTGTATTCAAGCAAAATGAATTGTCAGTACTGATTCTCATATCTACAACATACCTACCATTTTCAACATTTGTATACAAGTTTTTTAGTTGTCTATAAATATCATTGACCACATTCTGTAGGGCAGATTCATCAACGTCATTGTCATTTTTATTGTTATTAGGTCCAGCATCGCTAGAATCTGTAAAGCATATTGTACAATGATTGTTTTGGTAAGCTCTGTGAATCGTGATGTCTTCTTATAACATTGAATACAGATATATTGCAATAGGGGAAGAAAAACATCTGGCATGTGAAGATCTCAAGAGTGCAATAAAAACAATAATAAATAGCTGAAAATTACATGTTTGGTTTACTGGACTCTGCCCTACACTTCTCCCCTCACTCTAATCAATCACCGGCTTAAGCGGCTGTAAACACTCAATACTGAACGTGTTAACGTGTAATGTTTGAATCAATGGTTCCCGAGGACCAGAAAAGTACAGCACCGAGATAAGTATGGTGCATATTTTACAGCTAAAAATAACAACACTTGGAACCTGCAGTTGCTAGTAGGAAAGTTTGTAAAGGATCAATTATAATGGTTTTGCCTAAAAACGTTTAGAATTGATCATTCTGTCATATAATATGATGTTTAGACACATCAA